CTGAAAACTGAATTAATATTATTGACCATTAATATGGAATATCATGAATATGGGATCTCATACTAATGCAATGGTGCTTTGCCCTATAATCTCCCTCCTAGAGTCTTGTACTTCATGAAACAACACGGTTTTGACATGACACATCTCCTGACTGCCCTCTGCTTGCTCTCTGGTTACCTTTCATCTTCTGCAGTCCCGACCTTCCTACGGGGATAATGTTCTTAGTAGCCTTGCTTGCCCAGAGAAGCCCTTTACTTCACCTTCTAAGGTTACATGGACTCATCTTTCTTAATCAATTTTCTTCCCTCCTCCTCCCCTTCCAACTCCCTGCCACCCTCACTCAAGGACACTTGAAAGGAGAAAAAAAAAGTTCAGCTTGAATTGTACATTGAGATCTCATCCATATTCTGTACCAATTTCCAGACCATAAAATTCCTTATTGGCAGAGAAAGTGTTCTGTGATAATGTCTAAAATGGTCCCTTTTACCTTGTGCTTAAAATAAAGCACACCTTGAAGGCACTTTTTAAAACTATGGCATGCAGAAGAAGTCAAAGAGGCCAAAAGAGGGACTCTTCTCCTTTCTAGTCCTCTTTTTGTTCAGGGGCACAAAGTTTCTCTGCACTGAATGCACCTAAGAGAGAGAAGGCTGGCTCGGGGATTTGGTAAGGGTGGCATCAGGAAAGTGAGGGGACTGAGGCAGCACCATGACCCGACGTCTTGCTCAGGGTAGCCAGGATGTGGGCTCACTGTAACTGCCGCCTAGCTCACATGGCTGACGGCAAAGATGACATCCGGCCCATGGATCACAATCCTTGGCTATCACCTTCCACTTCAGCAGCTCAGAGAGCCTGTTCCTCAGGGCATGTCGCTCCTTGTTAACCCCCTGCCTCGTTAACCCCCTGATACCATTTGTACAGCAGAGACACTCGGTAAGTAATCTTTGAATAAATACTTAAATAAGGTTGACTTCACCCATTCATTTAGTTTGCAACGTCCATTCCCCTGACCCTGAGGCAGAACGGCAGCAGACATTTACCCAATGTGTGGCTGTGCAGCCTCACATGACCACACTCACTGCACCATATGACTCATCTTCAAAGAACTTTCCCATCTGAAACTAATTAATCTTCCCCACATCCCTGTGAGGTAAGTGCAGGGAGCTCGCTGCAGGTTGTAAGGAGGAAATTGGGGATGAGCAGGTTACAGGCTGTGCCAAAGGTTATTAAGGGTGTCTGCTGGGGAATGAGGTCATAATGCAATAAACCGGGTTCAGCCTCTCCACCCACCCCGGAATCCAGGCCCTTCCCTCCTGCTCTGACCATCGTCCTCTGGTCTTTTTGTGAAGGTTCAGACTGAGTCCAGCAGGTCTGTGCATTTCAGAGGGGAAAAAAGTATTATGATTTGCCCCTGCTAAATACTTTAGATGTCTTTCCCGCAATCACTTGTGTTAGAAGTTATCTCTCCAGTAAAGACATCGCCTTATGTAGATTTAGTGCTGTCTTCTGGAAAGAGGGGTGAGAATCATGCATATCCATCCACCTTCCTGGGAAACACGTGGTGAGGTTCACTCTCACATCTTTGGAGACACAAGCCAGTGCATGGGCAGCCTCGGCGTTCATGGTTACTGCCTGTCTTGGCCTGCGAACTGCCCAGAGCAGCATGACACACAGCCTCCTCGACATACTTCACACATCTCATAATGTGAGTTCCCATGGCCTGCACACAGCAAATACTACAACCTTCTCTACTGTCGGCCTTTCTGACTTTGCCAAACAGAACTAGGACTGGCTGTTTCCAACGGAGAAGCAACCTTCACCCACCTACTTGTCCTTTTTCCTTTGCTGGTTTCTCTTCCTCCCCCTACCTCCTAGAGCAGGACCTGCCTCGGGTCTCAGGTTTTTATATTACTATTTATTTTCCTATAGTGTGTGTTATTATCATTACTTTCCCTAGGAACCACATTCACTTTCACACTTTCAGCTTCCATTCCTTGTTGATATTTCTAAGTCAACAGGCCTATCACTGAAATAGGGGCTGGATTATAAATTCTCATTGACTGCCATTTTAATATAGCATGAGTTGGAACAGATGACTTACTATTGCATTTGGGGATGACTAGTCCTGATAGACAGTAAAGCATTTCCTAATGCTCCTGTCATGAAAACAGTATAATACTAGCGTATAAACCGACAGACAAATGGAACAGAATAGAAAGTCCAGAAATACTCAAATACACACAGCAATCTGTTATATGGTAAAGGGGGCTTCTCAAAACCAGTGTTATATCCATTTGAGTATATTGTAATTGTTGACTATAAGCAACATATCTCTCTTAATCTAGACCATTAGGTGCTAAATTTTTCATCCTCAAGGTTCATCTCTATCTTGCCCCCACTCCAAACCCCAGGTTCCATGTTTAGAGGATTTATCTGAACTATAAGATAAGGTAGCTCAGTTGGTTAGAACATTGTCCCAATATGCTAAGGTTGTGGGTTTGACCCATACAAGAAGCAACCAATCCTATATAAAAAAAGCCTAATATGCAAATTGTCCCCTGGACCGGGAGTTCGACCGGTATTTCAACCAGGGGTGGAGCTGGTGGGCCAACCACAGGAAGGGAGCCCAAGCCAGTGCCTGGCAGCTGCTAGAGACCCAACCTGTGCATGAATTTCATGCACTGGGCCTCTAGTGAATGTATAAATGAGTGGAACAACAAATCTCTCTCTCTCTCTCTCTCTCTCTCTCTCTCTCTCTCTCCTTCTCTCTCTGTCTTCCTCTCTTTCTCTAAAATCAATAAATTAAAAAATATTTTAAACTGTAGGTAGAAGATACCTATTATAAAAATTAAGAATGCATAATTGCCATGAAAAGTGTCTGGCCCACATGAAATAATTAAATTATTACATTAACATAATATATATATAACTTTGACAAATGCAAAGAAAATCATTTTTATGTACTCATTAACCACACTGTTTTATTGCTCCTAAATAAGCAATTTATGTTAGGCTCTTCAAAATATGAGAAATAACTCAACCTCTCCTGGGACTCCATTTGAGGTCCTGACATCCCAAATTTCAGGCTTTCGAGATGGCAAGGGGCAGCAGCTGGAACGTCTCTCCCTAACCCCTGGCAGGAAGGCTTCATCTGTAAAAAGGGGCTGGAACCCACTCCCAGAGGAAAAGATGCAATGGTCCTCGTGCACATACACTGAGGGGGGAATTCCTGCTCATCAGCTGAGTGAATGAGCTCTATATTTTCCCACACTTCAGTTTCCTTACAGGTAGAATCAAGCATTAAAAGTTGAACAAATTATTTAACTTCTCTATGCCTCAATTTCCTCATTGTAAAAAGGGAATAAAAAAAATAATGACCTCACGTGAGTGAGTTAATAAGTCTCAAGCACTTAGAATAATGTCGGATACAAACCAAGAACTATTCGCTGCCTGCATGTAACACCTTAGAGGCACGTTCAAAACTCTCCCTTTGGACTTGCCTTCCAGGGCTACCTCCTGAGAAGTTACAGAATATCCTGTCACCATTTTCCTTAGACTAATTAGCTGTGGTACAAATGGAAATTGACTTTCATAACTTTGACTTCACTTTTGTTGAATGATTTACATAATCCTGTAGCGAGGCGGTCCCAGAACTGCATTCCTTTCCTTGGCAAATTTGTACATCTTCCTCCAATGGCAGCATTTTGCTCATCATCGTGTCTGATAAATGACTTGGGGCTGGGGCTAGGCAGAGAACATCAACCCCTTTCCCTGCCCTCAGTGCCAGGGCTTGGATCACTGGGAGCAGAGGGAGACGCTGCCCACAGCCCAGGGCAGAGCCAACAGCCCTCAGTTTGGCAAGAGCATTGAGAAGAGACCTCGGTGGGGCCTGCTTACAAATGGGAGGACAGCGATGCAGTTAGACTCTGGGACCTGGAACCTCCGAGCCCCTACTTTCTGTCACAAGGGGGAAATTAAGCTGTCATGATATGGAAGGAAATGGCAGAAACAGTGTTTATAATTGATCGTTTAAATATGTGCTTGTCTGTCTCCTTACAGCTTTTCTTCTTAACATTATGCTCAGGAGAGCAAAGGAGGAGGCTGTGGAGAGCGTTATAAAAATGCTCCCTCAAGCTGTTTGTTCACAGAGAAGCAAGTGGAACCAAACTGTGTCCCTGATGAGAAATAAGAGGACAAACATTTTCCTGGCTACTTATTTGAAAAATATACCTTTGCCACACTCAAAATTTTCACCCAGTATGTCTTTCCCTATACCTTAACTCGTTTAAAATGAACATTTTAAATTTATTTCATAAAATAATCCAATTTATACACTCAAACTGGACTAAACACATTCATTCATCCAGTTATTCAGCCAGTATTTATGGAGCACCTACCATGCACCAGGCATCTTTTTGTTCCCTGCCATAGTCTCAGTCCCTAAAACAAAGTTCCTGAGCTTGGAGATCTGGGTGTCAGATATCTGGTAGAGCTTATGGGTGTCAGGCACCTAGAACCAATAATTCATTTAATCCTCACCACACCCCTGTGATGTGGGTACTATTATTATCCCCCCTAAACAGATGAGGAATTGAGGTTTCAAGAGAAGATGAGTAACTTACCCAAGGCTACAAAGCTAGTAAATCACGCATAGAATTTAAATTCCAGTCCATTTCCAAACTCACCCATCTTACTTGCTACACTACACTGCTTTCAAAACTCCTTAAATATAGTTGGCTATGATGGCTGTATTTTGTTTATAATCGCCTCCTCTGCTTTTTCTTTGTTTGGTTTGCTGCAATTCTCATCTCCTTCTGTTTGATGCTTTTCTAGTATCTAGAAAATGATCATTTAAAAGCAATTGTATCAAGTCATGGGACCATGGCAGAGCAGGCTAAGAAATGACAGCCATTTGTCCATAAATATTTAAATATATGCACTCCACTTCATTTAGTGCATTATTCAAATTCTGGGCTTTCACAAAAAAGGTTTCCGGAACTTACCAGCTGCTTCCTTTTATGATCTCAGGGATTCTCATCCAAACAAGGCTCAAAGGACCCATCTTCCAAAATCAGCCTCCTTATATTTACACCTGGTCATGGATGTCATTTGCCTACTCTTCTGCCAACTCTAAACTGACTAGAGAAGAGAATCAATTTGAATGCTCTCTCTCTAATTGCTTCCTTTCCCTAAACTTGCTTTTTTTTTTTCTTTCCCTAAAACCCCCGAAGCCAAAACCATAGTTCAGTGAAGTGAGTGCGATTAAGCAAATTCTGAACCGGCTCAGGGAGTCGCTCTAATTGCTCTAATCAGGGATATTTTCCGGGCTCTGCGGGTGGGAGGCCCGGCCGGCCTAGAACACTGCTTCAGTCCCTGGGCGGTCTGGGTGGTGTGTCAGCAGATGGCAATCACCGCTGCTCTGTTTCCAGGTCAATGTGAGGTTGTTCAAGTCTGGAGCTTCAGACCCTAATGGTTCTTCTCGATTTCATTCATCAGTCCACAGAAAAAAAGCTTGCCTTTAATACCTGAGTGCCCCCGAAGCCCAGGCCACCACTCAGACCACAACATCAGATTCTTCAGTGGGAAGAAGAATGTGGGTGCAGAAGGAGGGGTCTGGCTGCCTCCCTGTGCCTATGCACAGTCCCTCAAGGCAGGTGTAGTCTTTCATCTCTAGCAGTGAGCTTGGCTCAGAGCAGGGGCCCAAATGTTTGCTGAATGCTGTGGAATGAAGAAAGGAGGTGTGAAACTAAAGGCGCATTTTCTTTTAAGGAGCACTTTATGGGACAATGGGTTTATTTAATAATAAGAAGAAAAATGCTTGCATAGGGAATATGCATATCACCTACCACACTTAAATGAGAACGCTGAAAAGACTGGCTAGAACTCAGCACATATTTTACCATTAATTCAAAATAGTTAAAGGTTGCCAGTCTGTATGAGAAAGAGAAAGAAAAGGATAGAGGTTGAAATACAGTAGCAAAGCATCAAACTGACTTTAAATCAGGAATTTCTACCAGTATAACGGCAGTAGTAGCTGCAATAATTAATATTCTAACAAGCTTGATTTGGTTATAAAATCCTTCCAGGAAAATTCCAGAACCTCTGGAATTTAATGCCTTCATGAAGCCTACTAGGTCAGTGGTCGGCAAACTCATTAGTCAACAGAGCCAAATATCAACAGTACAACGATTGAAATTTCTTTTGAGAGCCAAATTTTTTAAACTTAAACTATATAGGTAGGTACATTGTTATTAACTTAATTAGGGTACTCCTAATCTGATTGAGGTATGTTCGCTGACGTCGACCCCTTCCAACTCTCCCATCCACACTCGTCTTGTATACTTGTTTCATCTGTCTCCTTTCCAAAAACCGACTTCTGCGCATGGGCCACGAAGTTTCAATTGTACTGTACATGCGCGCCCGCACGTGGTATTTTGTGGAAGAGCCACACTCAAGGGGCCAAAGAGCCGCATGTGGCTCGCGAGCCACAGTTTGCCGACCACTGTACTAGGTGTTTGTATATTAAAACACTGTCACCCCTGCTTAGGCTTTTGATTAACTTTCTATACATTCTGGCAATGGCAGCTCAGGAGGCAGGGGTGTGAGAGAGCTGTCACAAGAATTCCTTTGTGTCTGGGTTCACTAGGGCCTGCAGGACAGACCCAAGGAAACTGGCCACATTCCGCAGCTATGGCCTGGCCCCGTAGTGCAGTCCTTTTGTGTCAGTGATTACGTTAAGCATTGGATTAGAAATGTCATGTTTTGGCATCATCAATCCAACTTTATCTTTGGGAGTTTTCTTAGCTGAGAAAGTATTCATCAAATCAACTTTTTACATAGAAAATGCATATATTGGTTACTCATTTAATGAGCATTCTTGAACATCTCCTATTCACTATATGAGAAACTAGAAATAAAAACTTAAAAAGATATGGTCTATGACCTAAAATGATTTGACTACAGTGATGAAGGCAGTCCATGTACGAAGGCACACATGTGGCCATTGGTATGGGGACAATGGATTACAAAGCATTACTAACTCTATCTACTGCCTTTACTTTTCTAAAAAAGTCTATAGCTAGTAGTATATAATAAAGCATAGTATTTATGCTGAAACCAGGTAGGGAGGCTTCCAGAAATAAGCAAATCTGCAAAGAACAAATCTACACACATTTAGTTTGGCCAAGTAGAGGAAATACAAAGGTTTATTCTTAAAAACACAAAAAAGGAAGAAGCATGCTGGCTGAGACTTTCCCCAGATTATCACCAGAATAAATTAAAGATCTGGTGAGAGTAGATATAATGCATATAATAAGGCAAGGAGTACAGGGCAGAGGGTGATTCATAATTAAAACAAGTGCTATAGGGCACAATAAGTGATAGTAATAACTCACAATAATACCTTATTATTTAAGAACAAGACCTGAAAAATAAAGAGTGCTTAAGTTAGATAAAGGGCGTTCACATATAGTATTGCTTTTGATTCCTACAGCCACACAGTGAGGTAGACAAGGGAGATATTATATTATTAGCCCCATTTTACAGATGAGGAAACTGTGACCCATAGAAGTAAAGGGGCTTAGCCAATGGTGCCTTGCAAATAAGTGGCAGAACTCCAAGTTAGTGGTACTGGTGCTATATCCCTGTTCAACATCATTCTGCCTCCTTGCTGAGTGCCAGAGGAGGGAGGCGAGGGAGCATGAAAGGACTTGAAGGGTGAGCTATGAAGGAGACAGGCTCTTCATGAGGAAAGGATGATAAAGAGATGGGCAAAGAGCATGATCACAGGCTTTGGGAGAGAATGACTTACTGAAAAGGGATGTATATTAGAAGGAAGTGGGAAATGGGAATCTGATAGAAAAATAATCATGGGACTTTCAGCAAGTTGGAGTCTGGAGTTGAGTTTTGATCTTTCAAACAATGAGGCTATTTTTTTGAAGGAGGCTGACATGGTCAATACAGAGGATAAGAAAATTGATATGGTATTCATGTAGCAGAGGGGTTAGAGGTGGGGGGGCAAAGAGTCTGGGTTTCTGAAATCTGGGAAGGCCGGCAGAGGGCCTGGCATAGTTCTGGGATATTGAGGTGGGTATGCTTTACAGAATCCATCACCCACATTCATTTGCACATCACTGTGCAATAACAAAGCTAAAAGTACTCTGGTTATAAGGAACAGGGCATATAAAAGAGAAGGATGATTGGTGCTTACAAAGTTATGATGGAGTAAACCATTTTGGTTGACTTAAAACTTTTAAGATATGCTATCTCCAGAATTCAGGTTTGACCTTCATTTCCAGGCCTTGGAATATTGTAACTTCCTGCCTCAGCCAGCTTGTCCTGGGGCTGGACTAAGGTGGCCCCCCAGGCCTGTTGGAGTTGCAACAGATGGAGGGGATTTGAGTGGGGTCAGGGGTACTCCGGGTTCCTCATCCATACCTAAATGAGAATAGGTTTAATTTTGTAAAACTGCTTTTATTAAAATATTTTTACAAAATTTCAATTGGATAAAAGGTTCCAGAGCTTTAAACATCTGAAAAGCCACTGATCTTGTCTCATTCCAGGCACAGACAAATGAGGAAGCAAGGCCTGGTTCAAGGTCGCAGAAGGGGTGAGGTCGCTTGAGGGACATTTTCAACTGCTTTAAATTTGGAAGTAAAAAAGCTGTTGTACAGCAAAAAGAAACAACAAGATGAAAGGGCAACCTAAAGAGTAAGAGAAAAAATTTGCAAATCGGTATCTAATAAGAAGTTACTATCCAAAATATATAAGAAACTTATACAACTCAATAGCCAAAAAAAAAATGCAATTAAAAAATGGGCAAAGAATTTGAATACACATTTTCTGAAGAAGACATACAAATGGCCAACAGGTACATGAAAAGGTGCTCACCATCACTAATTATCAGGAAAATGCAAATCAATATCACAATGAGCTATTACTTCACACCGATAAATGTTGGCAAGGATGTGGAGAAAAAGAAACCCTTGTGCACTGTTGGGGGGAATGTAAATTGGTGCAATCACTATGAGGAACAGTATAGAGGTTCCTCAAATTAACAATAGAATCCGATACTGCAATCTTACATGTGGGTATAAATTTTAAGGAAATGAAATCATTATTTCCAAGAGCTATCGGCACTCCCATGTTCACTGCAGCATTATGCACAATAGCCAAGATATGGAAACAACCCAGGTGAATGAATTTTTAAAATGTGGTATGTTTTCTTGGTATGTATGTGTAGAATATTATTATTCAGCCACAAAAGAGAAAGAAATCCTGCCATTTGAGACAACCTGAATGGACCTGAGGGCACGACTCTAAGTGAAATAGGTCAGAAGGAGAAAGGCAAATACAGTGTGATCTCACTTACATGTGGATTCTCAAAAAGTCAAAATCACGGAAGCGGAGAGCAGGACAGTGTCACCAGGGGCTGGGGGTGGGGGAAATGGGAGATGCTGCTCAAAGGGCACAAACTCTCAGTTATAAGATAAGTAAGTTCTGGCGATCTGATGCATAGCGTGATGATTATAGTTAATAATACCGTATTATGTACTTGAAATTTGCTAATCGAGCAGATTTCAAGTGTTCTCACCACAAGATAAAGGTAACTACGTGAGGTGATGGAGGTGCTCATTAACTTCATTGTGGTAATCACTTCACAATGTGCATGGATATCAAATCATCACACTGTACACCTAAGGACGGTTTTGTCAGAAAGTTTTTCTATCAATTTCCCTTCAATAAACTTGGCAAGGGGCTGGGGGGTGAATTAGGGTAATGAGAACTCGGAAAACAAGAAGCAGTTCATGTCCTTTGAGGCTCCCAGTCTAGGACTCCCTCCAGGCCCTGACTGCCTGTGAAAGAGCCAGCCCGGTGCCCTCAGCGGATCAGTGCAGGTGGCAGGGACGGAGACAGGGATGAAGCACCCCCACGAAGCACCCCACACACAGGCAGCCGGCTGGGCCCCAGGGCCAGCCGGCTGAACACCAAAGCCTGTTTCAGTGTTCAGCCTCCTGCCAACAAATAAAACTTACAGGATTTCTAGTAAGGAAAGGGTCTAGTTAATATTTTTCTCTACCTCATTCATACTTCCACACTTGCTTATCTCTTTTTTTCCCCCCTCTCTTTTGGAGACTAACACTAAATCAAATCAAACAAACAAAAACAGCACACACCAACCCACCACCAATAACCAAAAATCCACCTTAAGAAAGGGATGTGTGTGTCCTGGGGGAGACAAAGAGGTGCTGCAGGTTTGGAATTCTCACGGTTACCAGAGAATTACGACCCAGAAGCAGAGAATCATTAAATCTGCTGGTCTCACCGTATCACAGCATGTAACACTGTACCTGCTCCTGCACTGCTCGCTGAATCAGGAAGTTTAGGGGAAAGCCCCGCAGAGCCTAGTAAATCTGTCCCTTTGTCTTCCAATCATACCCAGGCATTCCCCTCACTTTTCACACAGGGCCTACCATCACCTG